ATTAACCGATCACGAAATGCAAAATCTGGAAAAATATCTGGTCTTCAAAATTTTAGTTTATATAAAAACATGTTCTTTATTTTCAAGGGGTGAATCATTTTTAATTTGTTAGCAAAAAAGTTATAAAAAATAAAACAATAAACTTACAAATACAAAAGTAATAAAACTGACTAAATGCATATTTAAAAGTATAAACTATAATAGTATTATTACTTTTATAACGCAAAGTAAACTTATAACTTTTATAATTCATTCTTTGTTCAAATAAGATAAGTTCTCCCATATTTAAAAGTATAAACTATAATAGTATTATTTTGCATAAACTAAAATTTTGAAAATCAGATATTCTTCCAGGGTTTGTAAATCGTGATCGCTAGGTTCACCCCTTGATATATACTTGTTAAATTAAAATTATACAAATATATTTTACAAACAAATGACAATTTATATTTTCGCTTTCGCCTTTAAAAAAAAAAAAAAAGGAAAATCATGCTTTTTAATGTTTAAAACTTTTTTTTTGGTGTGACTTACCGAATTTTGTTGCCAAAAATAATAACCACTATGAAGAAAAAATAAATAAAAACAACACAAATTATTTAAATTATTGTTATTATTATTTTTTATTAAAATTTATTTTAAATTCCTATTTTGTTATTTTGAATATAAAAAAATTTGCAAACAGGCCATGACCAAGTTGTCTAAAATAAAATACTCACGCGTGGTCATACAAGACGAAAAAACGCACTCCTTTCCTGGGAAAGCTTGTCATTAGATATGGCACAGTATTCCATACAATGACAGATTTAAGATTTATAGAGATAAAGAATAGAATCCTCCATAAGAAAGTGTCTAGCACGATAAAGAGATACAATCTTAATAAATGCTAATTTTGCAATGGATTTAATTTACGGTTTCCAAGAAAGATCGGAAGTAAGAATTATTCCTAGCAGATAAAATGGTAATGTACTCATCAAGTACATTACCATTCATAGAAAGATCTAAATTCTTGCCATAACGATTGCAGAAAAAAAAATTAGGTTTTATCTAAATTAAAGTTCACCAGCTACTGTGAGCCCCATGCTGTGCCAGAAGTGATATCTTTTACAAGCTCAATTACCACCTCCAAGCAATCAGAGAGCCTTGACTTCTTATCATGACAAGAATAAATGGTAGTATGATCAGCACACAATGCCACCTTGATGTGAGAGTATTTGGAAGATTGTTAATGTAAATTAAAAAGATTATAGGGCCAAGATTTGAACCTCAAGGGACCCCTGAAGTTACAGGATATGAAGAAGAGTGCTGTACATTGAGGACAACTTTTATACTGCAATTGGAAAAGGAAGAATTCAATAATCTTAAAGATGTTACCAGATACAAGGCCGGCGCGATAGGGTGGTGCGGGGGTGTGTCAACCCCCCGCACCCCCACGTGACACCTACTCGCGCCGGCCCTGACCAGATACACTGTAAGAAAAAAGCATATGGAGAAGACCAGCATGCCAAACTTTATCAAAAGCTTTAGAAATGTCAAAAGAGATAGCTTTAACTTCTTCACTTCTATCTGATGCTTGATAAAACCTATTATTTATTACTGTTAGCAAAGCAGCTGTAGAATGAGAAGATTGAAATCCATATTGATAATTAGAAAGTAAGTTGTTAGATTCAAGATAAGAGGTTAGGTGTTTTGTTAATTAAAGATTCAAAATCCTTGCTTATAAATGGATAATAACTAATGGGTTAGTTGTTATATAGTTGTTAGATTGCTCTCCAGAGTTTTGAAAATAGGGATATCTTTCCAGCAGGCTGGAAAACAAGACTCTGATAAGCACTTGTTTAAAAGTTTTGAAAATATAGACAACAGCAGGTTTGTTGAGAATATAACAGGTATGGACCACAAGCTGTAGAGGAGTCTAAGCATGAAAGATACAGAAGATGGAGTGATATGAATGTCAAGCAATTGATAAACCTTTTTGTTGGCTATATCAGAACTATTGGAATCAAGAGATGATATTGATGAAAAGTTCTTAGCAAACAATTCAGCTTTGTAGTTGTAAGAAGTACGATGATGGGGGATTCTGATGATGAAGGATTCTGATGATGAAGATAATCGTTTTAGAGTGATCAGAAGCACCTACGGGTAAATATGGAGAAACTGAGCACTGACTAGGATCAGAAACAAGACATAAGTTGAATAGAAAAGGTAAATGATTCTGGTTGTCTAGAAAACAAGTTATGAAGTTGACTATTTGACATTGAGAATAGCAAAAGTGGGCCTTAATGCACACAGAGTCTCTGGCACTAAATTTGATCCATTCAGTATAATGAGCCATAGTCATGAAAAGAATAGTCTGGAAACACAGGCCATTTTTAATTGTTTTATTGACCACCCAATTTAAGGTGCAAAACAAACTTTAATGATGCCTAAAAGCTCAGAAGATTTGAATCATATTGCGCCTATTTTTGATTTGCATCAAGACAAGCTTGATTCTATATTCAGTTATTGACCAGGATTTGTTAAATGTTGTTGCTGAAAAACAACATGCTTCAGATATACCACAAATAACACTTTTCTTTATATTTTGTAACAAAAAATGTTTGAGCTCTAGGGGTTTCGACATTACTTGGATTTGAAGTATGTAACCACGTATTGTCACATCTTTCTGGTCAATCAGAGATACAATTTCATCTGGAAGCGTTAGTGAAATTTTAGATAGGGATTAATCTGTTATTGCTTATTTATGTAGGTATGTTTTTAGCACATTATATTGTCGCATCATATTTTCAGTAGGAAGAATACTATCAACAGTATATATCTATTTTACTTGCTGCTCTATATCAAGAAAGCAATGATTTGCAGGAGCACAAACTTGTTAACACTCATAACAGATCAGGCTTATGGAAAATGAAAATTGAGGCAATATGTATTTTTATTAATTCTAAAACAACCTTATATATATATATGTATATATATAAACACATATATATATATATATATATATATATATATATATATATATATATATATATATATATATATATATATATATATATATGTAATAATATATATATATATATATATATATATATATACATATACAAATAAAATAGTGGGTAGAACGAAATAGTTATGACAATGTTTATTCTTTTGCTTTTAATTAACTATTGAATAATTTTTTTGTAAATATTTTTTGATTATATTCTGAAGAATATTTTTCTGAGTAAGATTGTATAAAACTTGTTTTCACTCAACATCGATAAAATTGATCAGTCAAAGTTGCATATTTCTAATAAATTTGAAACACAGAGATCTGAACCTGAGCCTTCATCATCTCAACAACCAGAATCTATGATAGTGTCACCACCAAATCTAGCAACAGAAACTACACTACGTCAGCTGATGCCCTCTAAATCTACACCAACAACATCTAGCATCAGCATATGTCATACAGCATCAGCTCCAAGATCATCTCAAAAGTCACCTTGTCTGCAAACAACCTTTAATATTGTAGTAACTACGGCTATTCAAAAGGAAATTCAAAAAGAGGTTGCAAAACAACTGCAATCAGCCCAATCATTTGGATTAGCTTTGCAACAAATGTTTCGTATCCAACACGTTGACACAAAAAAAAGAATGTAGATGTGCCAAGATTCGAAGGGGAGTGTCTCAACAAACCTGAAATACTTGAAAGGTTGAAAGATGCTGAGAACAAAAAAGCAGCAAAGCAAGCTAAAAAACCACCTAAACTTAGCTCTAATGGAGAACAACAAATAAACCAAGCAACAAGTCCAACGAAAATATTAGCTGCAAACCAATTCAAGTGTAAAAAGCGCCGAAAAGTCAAATTATGGACTAGTACCTGTGTAAAAATTCAAATTGCAAAGTTTAACTTTATCAAACATGCATATTAAAGCGATAGGTAAAAGGCGCTGAGTTTTATTGCTACAAAAAGTGCAGCACAAGTGAAAACTAAACTCAACCTCTAGTATCTCTAAACGACTCAACATCATCATAAGAATAAAATTGTTTATTTTATTTGATTGATTTTTTTAATTGCTATTTTTGATTGTTTTTTTAATTTTCATTGATTGCTTTTTTGTTTTTTTAATAAAGTGTTGTTTTAATTACACTTATATTTGCGTATTTTATTCTCCCCAAATGTCAGTGTAGAATGGAATAAAAATTTTTTTAATCAAATAAAGTTTCATAAAAAACTTAACAAAAAAATTGTTAAAATTTTTATATATTTAAATACAGCTCAATCACGGCTGTTTCAAACCGAGCTTAACGGCTTCTTGTTATTTTTTGAAAATATTGACTTAAGGGGTGTTACTAAAACTTCTATAACTTTTAAAATATTAAAGATAATTTTGTTTTGTAAAAAGAATAAAAACACCAATAAAATGTTTCATCTTACGACATTTAATGCATTAGTAAAAAAACTTCTTTAAGTTTAAAAAAAACGCGACAAATTATGAAGTTGGCTGAATTCAAGTAATTTAATGTTACTTTTTATCAAAAAAAAATCAGAAAAATTTATTTCTGATAGTTATTCTCAAATATACCCATTGTTTGACTATTATAGAAACAAAAAAACCTTACTTAATTGTTAAAGGATAGCTAAAACAGACTTTATTGAGGTCTGAAAGCAAACCGCACTTTTCGCAAAGTTATGAAAAATGTAGTTAAAAGGGGGATTAGCTGTTAAATGAGTACATTTTTAAACCTAGGAGTTCTTGTTTTAGAAACTTATTTTCCTAAGCCAATAAATTCATTGCATTGCAAAATAAAGTCAGATTTCGATTTTGGAATATTTAGTCAAAACATTTAAAGCTTAAGCATTTATTTTTTTCTGTGCATACAGTTCTAATAATATGGTGTTAAGTTGTTAATAAATAAAGACTCAATAAAATAAAGTCTAATAATATAATTCATGACCTAATTTGAGTTTAAGTTTTTGAATTAACCTCGCTTTTGGTAGTAGAATTATTTTATAGCACTTGAATCTATAGTCTCTTCTCTCAGTAAATAAAGTGTTTGAATATACAAATAGCTAATTGAAATCTTTTGAAAATTTGTTTTTATTCCCATTAAAAACTGTTTTATAATCAGTTGGTTCACTGATAGGTTCTTTAAGTAGTAAACTATCTTTGTACATCCAATTGATATCAGATTCATACTCATGCTAAACCAGAAAAACAATTGCTCCACTCAAAATTTTGATAACGTTTACAAATTCTTAATTTATTGAACTAAATTTTTACATCAACTTGATATGAGATTTATATTCCATTCTTTAACCAGCGAGGAGGTATGTAGAGCAGAGGTACTGCCAAGGTAGAACTAACTTCTGGTGATAAACATCAAATGGATATGTAAAATATCTATAAAAAAATGTTACAAATAATGAAGGACAATACATTTTTTAAATTAAATACACAAACATACAAGATCATACCCAACCAACATCCCAGTTGCTCTGATCACAAGTTAATATATAAAAGCTAGATTTTTACATGCATTTGATGCAAGACTAGTATTCCATTCTTTAACCTGAGCGAAGGTATTGCATAGGTATAAATAACTTCTAAAGATAGGAACAGAATGGGCACCTACCTAATATATAAAATCAATATATTAAAAAATAATATTTTAAACTAACATTACACAGATATTAGAACAGAATAAAATTATCTTATATATAAAATAAAGATCTCATATAATTTATCTTACTTGTAAACAGTTTTTTTGTTGTTGTTGTTTTTAATTTTTTAAATATTTTAACTAAATTTGATGACCACAAACAAGACCAAGACCTTGTCTATAAAATGAATTTTCGCCGCGCTCAGAACACACAACACACTTTCTCACCTTAGAGGCTTGAAGCTTCCTATCAGCTTTGCTGTGCAATTCAAAGCGTTTTAAAACAAGATGCAGCTTCTGCTCCTGATTTCTTACTGAATGCAATTGTCTTAATTTCTTATTTACGCTATTATGCAAACACTCTCCCTCCTCATCACTTAGCAACCCAATAGTTTTATGCAATTTTACAAATAATGGCACATTAAAAAAAAGTTCATGCATTTTTCGTGTAACACTTTCATTTGGAAAGCAAGCATGAAACTCAATAGCAAATAAATTTATATATTGATGTAGCTCTGTAATTTTGGCATCGATTAGAAATTTTCGCCAAAAAAAGAATAGCTTGCAACTTATTAAAAACACTAAACACACGTACAAATCTATTTTTAATTGCTTCATCATCAATAACACTACAAAGTTTATAGTGGTTTCTTAATACTATTTTGCAATGATTACCTACAAATACATTACCCTGGTAAGCTTGTCGCTCAACCTTCATATCTTCAAGGGCCTTATAAAGAGACCTCTCATGAGGCCCTATGCTATTTTTATATTCTTTTTCTAGGTCTTCACACTCCATCTGCAATCAAATATACTTAACGTCTAAAAGTTCCTGTTGTGCGCGTATAAAAGTAAATTTTTTGAGAAATATAAAGGTCAAGACATTCTATATCTTCACCCTAACATGCTAAACACTCATACTTCTCAATGTCACACAATACACTCTTTTCAGAATCACCAATAATTTCACAAAATTGATGAAACAATTTTTGGCACGCACCGCACCGCACCCAATCAATGTTACAATTATATTTTGTAATTAAACACCTAATACTATTACACATTTCTTGCTGTTTACAGGTTATTTTTTTATTGGAGGAGTTTAGAGATAATTCAGAAATATTTTTATTAAAAGCTAACCAACGTGTCTGTAGATTTGCAATGTCTACAAATTGATTTCCTAAACGTAAGCTTCTGCTGTTTTAGAACATTTAACGCTTTTAGCAGCCCACAATTCATTCGTTCTCACATTCTCATTATGCGACAAAGACGAAACAGCTTGACAGTCTAAAGTCTTACACTCCTTCAACAATAACTTATACAGTTTGAACACAACTCCTAACATTGGAGTTGTGTTCAAACTGTATAAGTTATTCCCCATAATAACTTTAGATAATGTAGTGCCACCATTAACATTGGTGGGACTACATTATCTAAAGTTATTATGGGGAAAATCACAGGAGCAATAATTGAATTATGAAACTTACCTAAAGTTCTTAGGTTTCCACCTTGTCTATTTTCACACAAGTTGTCATTGTATCCTTAATTGGCTCTGTAGCTCTACAGCATCAGAAACACTTAACCCAACTTATTTGCAACACAACAAAATATTGACTTTTCACAAGACATAGAATCACAAAACAACATAGACAAGTCACTTTCTAAATCTGAACAAGCTAATAATCGAAGGAATATAAAAGTAAGTTTAGATAGTTTAGCTGCAGCATGTCTACCTTACTTAGAATAAGGTTTACCATTTCCTAACTTAATGTAAGTATATTTTTTACTAACTATTGGCTTTTTAACTGATATATTCTGTGGATTACTTAATTTAAACCCACAAAATAATTTAGAGGAACCAATGTTGTCGTAGTCTAAATAAGAATCAACCACAACTAAATCCTTATCGCTACTAGCAAAACATTTGCAAATTTGGCAACTGTTCTGGCTTAAATCACTAATTTTTGCAATTTTTTTTTCAATATTAATTTTTTTTAGCAATCTTACATTTTTGGCACGAGCAGATGCAAATTTACGCTGGAAATGACATTGTTACTGATCTTATCTGTCCTAATTAATCGCTTAACAAAAGGAAAGTTACACCTACCTTCCCAACCATTTTTCCATCCAATATGTTGTTCTAGAATTTCCCTCTCAGTTAAATACATAGTTATCAAAATAATATTGACTTATTAATCAATATAATAAAAACAAATAAAATAATATTAATTAACAAATATATGCACAAGATAAATGTGGATTTAACAACTTATCTGATATTAGTTTGATAATCCATAGAGAAAAATTCCGCGTAACTTTGTTTACTTTATACTTCAAAAATTGACTCGCCGAAACAGTTGTTTGGAAAATATTCTCTAATAAATAGTTTGGGACGTAACGCATAAAGGTTACGTCATCGCAAAAAAACGTCAACAAAAATGTACGCCTAAAACTAACAAGATTAGTTGTAAAACATGACATTTTTGAAAACATATTTCATAACATAGCTGAAGGCACGTAAAAAATTTTTTTTATTTTCATTTGCATAAAAGGTTGAAATTTCATTAACTTACGTCATCCATCAAATAAGTTACGTTTTGCATTTAAAAATGATCAATTAAAAAATATAAATGCTTTAAAAACAGTCTTTTTGTAAAAAAATCTCTAGGATGACGCAGGAACCTGATAGAATGGACATTTAGGGTTAAGTGTTCCAAATTTCAACTATCAAGCACAGAGCTATGTTATGAAATCTTAGTTGGATCAACTCATGTTTTCCGGAAAATATGCGAAAATTAGAAAAGTGGTTCTAAATTATTAAAAATATTTTGGCAATATTTATTTTTATACCAATTAATATAAATATTTATTTAACAAGGAAAGATAGATCTTTTATATTTTTTTAATTGCAAGATGAAAGCATTTATATAAAAAAGTTACTATTAATTTAAAGTTTGTGAATTTTTATACTTTTTATGCGGAAATACTTTTTTTTTTGATAAACTCATGACGTCACGCTCGTTTTTATATTGAGTGAAACAGCCGTGCAATACTCTCTACAACTTAAAAAAAAAGAAACAAAAAATCTTTTTTCCGTAAAAAATTATTAATTAAAATCCTTAACTATTTCATTTGACCCCATTTTATTCTCTCTGTCTCTCTCTCTCTCTCTCTCTCTGTCTCTCTCTCTCTCTCTATATATATATATATATATATATATGTACATATATATATATATATATATATATATATATATATATATATATATATACATATATATATATATATATATATATATATACATATATATATATATATACATATATACATATATACATATATACATCTATACATATATACATCTATACATATATACATATATACATATATACATATATACATATATACATATATACATATATACATCTATACATATATACATATATACATATATACATATATACATATATATATATATATATATATATATATATATATATATATATATATATATATATATATATATATATATATATTTATAAATATATATATATTTATATATATATATATATATATTTGTATATATATATATATATATATATATTTATATATATATATATATATATATATATATATATATATATATATATATATATATATATATATATATATATATATATATATATATATATATATATATATATATATATGTAAGATTAACGATATATTTATTTCACATTTGGCAATCAGAAACAATTATCTAATATTATCTTAATTTTTAAAACAGCTATTTCATGGCTTCAAATGGCTAAAAACATTTTTCTGGTGTCAGAGTATATAATACTAGTTTTTTTAAACTGTTTTCTTTTCATTAGAAAAGATTTTTTACAATCAATCTAATTTATCAAATAAGGATTTTACTTTACATACTTTTTTGATAACATCTAGGGCCAACATTTTGGGTTTTTATTACCATATTTTAAGTTTTTTTGGAAACTTTCTCATTAACTCTGAGCTTATTGAGTCTGCTTATTTGAGTTTTTTAATAAAATTAATAAATTAAAAAATCTGTCTGTGAAATAAATTTTACTTGTTATCAACAAGGAAATTATATCTTAAAACTAAAAAAAGCTTTTTAAAAATTTTCTTTGGTACTTAAAAATTATAAAAGTGCCAACCTTAAAAATATAAGTGCACTAATAAAAGTAAAAAGACTTAGTTAGAAATTGATAAACAAGAGCATTTATTTAGCACCTCAAATATTTTTTGAGCAATATACATTTTTGAGAGTATATAAAATAAGCAAGTATCAGGGAGGGTTAACGTTTAGTTTTCTCAAAAGTTTTTTTTTTTTTGCTTTTTTTTTTTTTAATATCTATAAACTTAGAATTTAACTACAAATTACATAATTAAAATCATTATGAATTAAAATATTGAAAAAATTAGATTGTAAAATATTTTACAATTAATGTCAGGCTTAAGCATGCAAATCTTTTTTATCATTTTTTAAGCCACCTTTTTTGAGCCACCTTCTCCTTGTAATTAAGTTTAATCTAACTTTAATTATCAATTATAACTCTAATTCTCTTATTTAGATCAGGATCCAGCATTTCTTGGCCTTAGAGATAGCTAACTTCAAGACATAGAGCAAACTCCAATTTTTTGTTTATACTTATATAAAATATTTGCAATATGCTTAGCAAAAAATTTTTATGATTGGAGCATAAGAACAAAAAATTCCTAAAATTTTCGCCTCTTTGCCCCAATCATAAGAGCAACAAATCCGTAAAATATCTTTTTTACTATTCTCAACTAGATTTATATTCATCGATAAATTTTTAATTTCATAGTAAAATATTTTAGCTTTCAAAAATTAAGATCTTATAAAGTTTGAACCTCCCTCAATTTAAGAGGGTTACAAATTTTATATGGTTATAGTTTTTGAACATAACAAGATTAAACTATAAAACTTAAAAATTTTTGATGAATATAAGTCTAGTTGAGAATAGTACAAAAAAAATTTTATCAATTTTTTTACCCTCACATTTGGGATAGGGGGAAGAAAACTGTAGAGTGTTTTTTGTTCCCAGATTCTAATCATTGCTATATTTTGCAAAGCATTCTTATTTGACGTAAGTTTGAACATATAAATGTTTGGAGTTTGCTTCATGTCTGTAAGCTATCTCAAAGACCCAAAAATGCTAGATCCGCCCCTGATATAGATCGAAACAGTTTTTCAGTAGTCTATATTTTATGAAAGCTAGCAAAAAAATTTAATGGTTGCTTTCAAAATAATGTTTAACAAGGGACCTTTTTTTACACAAATTTTAAGTTTTAACTAAAGATTTTAAGCAACTATATAAATAAAACTGTGGCTATAATCTGTTTAAATTTTTTAACTTCGTTATTAATTATGATTTGAATATTTGAAAAATATTATGATTAACTATTTTTAATAGTTGATAATTATGAAATTTTAGCCTTAAATTGTCTAATACACTACAGGCCTTGTTTTAAATAAAAAAGTGCTTAATGCATTAGCTTAACGCGATTTTGACGTCATAAAATTATCTTTATTTTTTTTGATAGGCGTTAAGTGTTTTAACTACCGCAATAAATAAATAACCGCAAACTAATTCAATTTAACAATTAACTCAAATATAAACTATAAACGTTTTAAATATAAATTTATTATGAAAATTTTGTAATGTTTTCAATTGTTACTTTATTATTAATTTTAGTTCAATATTATTTAGTAAAAAAAAAAAATATATATATATATATTAATTATTTCTGAAATTTGTTTTTGAATAATTGTTTTTAATCGTTATTGAATAAAAAATAATAATGATTTTTTTTATTTTTAAAAATTTCTAGAGTAAACAAAAAATATTAACATTGATAAACACAAACCCATGTTAATTATTTAAACAACAATTTTGTTTTGACTAGCAAAGAAAAATTTAAGTTTTTAAATATTTTTTAAATTTTTAAAAGCGTTTCAACTTGCGTTTTAAAAAAATATAAAAAAGTTTTGTCTGCTTTGAAGCGTATTTTTGATACGTAGTTTAGAACGCGTTCGCTAGGAATTTAATTCATAAACTTTTTATCTTATTGTAAAAATATTTAACTTTTTAAACAAATCACAAAGAAACAGAGCTATAGAGAAAAATCGTTTTCAACGATTAAATCTTTTTTTATTTTTATTTTAGGAAATTAAAAAAAAAATTAAATTAAATATAAAAGTCTTAATTATGCAAACTCTTTTGTTAATTATTCTTAAAACAAAAAAACAAATACTTCTACGTCAAACTTTAATCGTGCAAACTTAAAAAAACACTCAACTGAAATAATTTAAGTATATTTAATAATTTGAATCGTATCTGTTTATAATAAACATTCGTAAAAATTTGTTTATTGAAAATTAAGTTCCTTAACTTATAAACAAACTCAAAAGTATTTTCATTCTACGTATAATTACAAAACTCTTTTTTTTTTTTTTCGTTTGTGAGCAATTTAACTTAATAAAATAAAATAAAAGAATAAATACGAGGTAATCTTTGTTAAGAATAACGTTAATTTATTTATTGAACTATATTTTTATTTTTAATTATATATCAACTTAATTAAAATATAGTAACATGTTAAAATATTTTAACATGATTTGTATTATTTATAAACCGTTGGGCAGTTGCTCTTACGGCACTATTGTTTTTGGATAATATTTTATTTTGATGAAGATCACATAACTTACATTTGATTTTAATAACGTAAGTCTTCTCTTTTTCTGTGATCATCGCATCGGCAAAGTCCCAAGATTTAAAAGTTTTTAAAGTAAATCTTTTGTCCTTCAAAATACAATCCATATTCAAACTTTAAATAATTTAGAGATAATAGAAATATACAAGGTTTTTATATACTAGTTTGTTTTGTTTTATAAAGAAAAATACATATTCATTAGTAAAAAATGGAGACTGTCATTAAACTAAAACGTGCCTTAGTATTTATTTAACGGAACCTGTAATGTGCGCGTGCATAATAAAACCTCCGTTATATAAATATATTCAACGTAATATTAGTATCATCAGCGGATGTTGTAGTCTACTCATGATTTCTTTACCTTATATTATAACTTGATTTATGACAAAAAAAACTTATTGAATCGCACGCAGAAGAATTTTAACAAATTGTCTTCATTCAAATATTAATATTGCGAGTAACAGGTAATTTTTTTTTCTGTGCCGACCCTCTCCCTCCGCATAACTTAAACTATATACTAATAAACTAATAAGAAAAGCTATATACTATTAAACTAACTATAAGCTATATACTATTAAACTAATAAGAAAAGCAAAGACATTTTTTTTAACATCTCGAAAAAATGTCTTGATATTTTTGTTATCATGATAACAAAAATATTAAGACATTTTTTGAGATTTTATTAAAAAAAATGTCAATTCTTAATTACAATTTTTTTTGCAAAAGTTTTTTATTATAAATTCAGTAAAAAATTCATAAAAAATCTATATTACAAAAAACTTTTATATTCTGTATTAATAAATATGGAATATAGATTTTTTAAAAGTTTTTTACTAAAAACTTTACTACTTTTTATTAAAAACATTCCAAAAAATTTGTAGTTAAGGATTGACAAACAATTTTTCATGTTGCTAAATATTTGGATAAAAAGTTTAGCGTCAAATTAATTGCTATAAAAAGGAAAGATATATCGCGATGAAAAGTTACAACAATTAATTTTAAAGTAAATTCTTTTTTTTAATAAATACCTTTATACCATATCGTTATTTAAAAGTTAATGTAGTTTTTTTGAAAATTAATTACTTCTTTTATGTTACCGCTAATTTAAAAGTTAAAAAATGATAAAAAGTAGCTTAACCAAAACAGCTCTACACGTACGTAAAAAGCGCTTAAGGCGTACGTAAATCGCTCTAGGCGTAACGCTTTAAAACAAGGCCTGCACTAGTGCGGACCCTGCTTATACTGTCAATCTATTTAGGCAAGAATAAAAAAGAAATTTTATATAATTACAACCTAGTCTACTTAACCTAGTATACTTACTTAAATGTATTAATCTTTTGTTGATCAAATTTATTAATATTGGATCACAAAGTATCTGTTCATTTAGCCAATAATGTGTTTTAACAATTTGTAGTTATGAAAATAGCTATTTAAACAAGTGTATTATAGAGAAGTTTTTATTTGCTATCTGCATGGTACTGGTTCTTCATTAATCTCAAAGTGAATATCTTCTTAGGAATTAACATCTTTTATAGGTCTGAAAACTTTTAAATTTTGAATGGTATTATTATTATAGCTAAAATCACAGATAGGTGGATTATCTTTGTGAGAACCAATTGATATACATAATAACTTTCTTGTGGATCTTGACAAAATCTTTCTGTTAATACATAAGACACATCTATAGAAAGTAAAATTTTTATAAACTCAACAGCAGAATTGAAAGTAATTTTAATTCTTTTCTTAGGTTTGCCACAATATAAAAAATTATACTTCTATCGTTTAGAGTAAATTTACCTTGACGGTTATTGATGGAATTTAATCACTTTTCAAAATTCTGTTTTAAGCCAGTTAAAAACAAACTATCGTTTTTGAATATTGATGACTACATCAACAGAAGAAAATGGGACTGAGAATGGCTTTGACTTGAATTTATTCCATATAATTACTAATAATATTAATAATCATATGGAATAAATTCAAAAATATTGATTTAAAGTATAATATTAATATTCATAATACCAAAAAAACTGCTAAAGTTAGCTGTAGCAAAAACATCTGAAGATTCATAGTTAAGAAGAAATTTACAGTAACTAACAGTAGTGCCAAGAACTTGAGCTGCAGAATTTGACGTTCATAAGATGATAACTTAATGTATTCATATAATAATTTTGGAAGTAGATGTGAACCACATGTTTGGTCTTTTTTAAAAATGTCTGTGACTCAGTTTCTTGTTATTTTAAGAAGATGTGGAAGGTAAGATATAAAGTTAATATATCTTTCAGGACAATGTAGATTAATAGCTTTATATGTGACATCTGCATCCTTTTTATCATTAGAATTATATAATTGTGAATGCATTTTAAAATTTTCGGTAAGGAGCAGCACCATCACAAGTTGTTGCTATAACTTAATTTCTATTAACTTTGCGTTCTTCAAAATGTCTCTTGCATACATGTCAAGATTCACTAGCAATTTCAAATTGCTAAGTAATTTGTTTTCTTAAAGCTAAATCAATCAAATGATCTTTTGTGATAATTTCTATCAATTTTCTTCTCTAATGAATATTATAGTCTGTAACTCTGACCTTTAAATGAGCATTAAAGTCACCAACAATATTGGCTGATGGAAAAAGGAAAAAGGCTCAGTCAATTTGATTAGAAATAACATCGAAAAGAGTGCAGTCTTGAGATGAAGGGTGCAGTATAAAACAAAGGGAAAGGCAAGGCAATAGGGTGAAGTAGTGCTAAACAAAAGCACATAAAAGAATAGTCGGTGGGTTTAAACCTAGTTTTCCAACAAAGGGTTGAATTCTTACAAATTTAATGTCTAGGCCAAGTATGTGACTATTGGAGTCTTTACGAATTAATGGAAGATAACCATTAACACTAAGACGACAAGGTTAGATAGCTGAACTCAAATTAGTCTCACAAAGAGAAAATTACTCCAAAAACCATGAATATTAGTGAATGATAGGTTTAAAGAATTTGGTGATGACGATGGTTTTTTGTTTTTTTTATAGATTTTGGTACTTTTGTAATTTTTAAATTTGTAAAAGAACTTGTCTTTGAGCATAGATAGAACTCAGTACAGTATTTAGTAATACTATTATTAATAAACCCTAAGCTGCACCAAAGCACACCAAAAGTATGAACAGGGACACCCTCTATGGGTAACTTACTTTGTTATGGGTTATTTATGGGTTATTATGGTTATTCTATGGGTTATTACTCTTATATTTTATAGCTGTTGATGGAATTAACCTCTCTGAAAACTATCACAGAGTTAGGGAAACCTGACTTCCAGTCGACCTCAGAATCATAAAACTGACTTTTAAAGCTGTACCCTCATTAAGAGATGATAGAATAGTTGTGCAAGTAATACCCATGCATTGAGTCAAGAAGATCCAGCATTCAACATCCTAAACTGAAAACAATGTATTATAAATACATCTGTACCAGCTTAATAGATGAAGAATGGGTACAAGTCTACTACAAGACAGTAGCCCAATGTGTTAAACATCTGCCCAAGATGAGTATTTTTATCAAGACATTATCTCTAGCCTTTTCTCAACCAAGAGCCCCAAAGTAGGGAGTGTCTTAAGTCGGAGTTGGCTTCTCCCAGCCTTTACCTAAAAAAAATCCTAGAAGGCAGCAGGACATGAAGCAGGTTGTACTGGGCTACATGTAACCATTTGCAGGATAACCTGACCTGATGTTGATATTTTTTGTCTACGCTTTTCTATAACTAAAGGTTTTATAAAATGTTTTCTGCAAATAAAAATTGTTTGTGCTATACTACCTAGTTGCTGTTTATTCTTTCATGTGTCTCTTTTAAAGTGTTATGTTTAAAATTTTAGAAACTTTTATAATGAATATAGAATATTCAGATTTCATTTTGAACATTTTCCTTAATGCTTATTTTATTAAATTGCTTCTTTATTGCATTTTATTACATTGCTTCTTTATTAAATTTTCTCAAATTAGAACTCAAAGACTGTTTGAATATTATCATGTTATTTGTTAATGTATTAATAATGTAGATAACAGTCTTAACATATTACATAATATAAGCCATATTGAAAATTGTTATTTTCCTTTATTTGAACATAGAAAAACTCAAAATTTTTTTCTTAATTTTTATTTCAAAAGAATTAAAGATAGTTTTTTATACATTTTTTTTTTTTTCTAAAAATTAAAGAAAATCATAGAAATGAAGAAAAACAAAAATTAACACAAATTTCATTTTTATGTAAGGATGAAAATAAAAATAATGACCAATGGTAGAGATCAATTGCTGCATTGCTTTAAAAAAATTAATTTAAAAGCTATTATACCACATTAATATTAAAAAAATAATAATAATAATTTCAATAACTATAATAGTAGTTAATGTTGATAAATTTGATACTTCCACACTAGCATTGGATCCTCAAAAACAAATCCAAGATTTTTATTTGGTTTGAAACTTTTAAAAAGCCTTTAATAAATCATAACTTTTTTTCATATTGAAAACTATATTAAACTATATTATATAAGTTAATTAAGACTTTTATTACAATATTACAATATTATTCTACTGTTCTATAATAGTTTTATTTAACTCAATAATACAATCAATTTAAGATTAAAGTGTTAAGTTAAATTAAATTAAATTTGAAGTCAAAAAAGTTTTAAACCTTAAATTGTTTTTATTTTGCTTTATCTCTATTTTATTTATTATTTTTATTAAAGGTAATTGCAGCTACGAATTATATTACAAAAATATTATAATTGCAGCACCTGAACTATTTTTCAACAATGAATTTAGCAAAAATATAAGAACACCAAATTCTTTGGATTGGAGAGAGACTGCCAATATTGTTCTTGATAAAGTACCACATGATCAATCAATAGAGTTAATTGCAGATAATTATATGGACAGAAATTTTTCTGACTTGGCAGATGTCATTTGTGTTTGTCCCTCCTCATCTGGTAAAAGTTATATTACCTTGGTACTTGAAAAGTTTTATAAATTGTTTTCTACTAACAAAACTGGTGTTTGTGCTATTATACCTGGTTATCATTTACGCCATCATGCTTACCTTTTAAAGTGTAATGTTGAAAATATTCGAAGTTGTAAAGATGAAGATAGAATAATATTATTTCACTCTGAACTCAATCTTATTCTTATTATTCGTATTGCTACATCATTAGCTCGCATCCCGTTCGAATCTGAAAATTGTTTGAATGATATTGTATTGTTTATTAATATTAACAGCCTTTACATTGAAGCTAATAAATTAGTTGTTTTGGGAATTATTGTTTTACCTACATATGAGCGTAAAGAATTAAATGAAGAATTATTTTTTCTTTTTTCTGAAACCTGGAGAGAAGAAAAAGATCAAAGTAATGAGAAAGAACAAGAGTTAAAACAAATTTTATTTTTATGTAAAGATGATATGGAAGATGAAAATATTAACCAATGGTGGAGATCAGTCGCTGCATATTGCTTTGGAAAATATAATAATAAAAGCAATAATTCAGTGTTTTTTAAAAAACTTATTGGATTAACTATGATAGTGATGGCTGCTGTTGATAAAGTCAATTTTCCCACAATACATTTTGATCCTCAAAAACAAATCAATACATTGCTTCTCAACAATGAACAACGTGAAGCAATATATAGCATGGAACTTAAAAAAATTATCACTGGAGGATACGGTTCGGGTAAATCTATTGTTGGAAAAGAAATTGTTAAAAATTGCATAACTAAAATGTCAGAAAATCCTTTAACCTTGTATTACATATGTTGTAATCATTTCTCTTTGTTTCAATGTGAAATAAAAGAATTTGTTGACCGTGTTAAAAAAGCCCCAAACGTTACTGTTGTTTGTGATAATTTGTATGAGTTATGGAAAAAAATGCATGTAAACGAAGATATTAAAAACGATTACATTTCTATTCCAAAATTATTAGAGTATTTGGTTGTTATCAATACTAATAAAGTATATTTTGTATTGGATGAACTGTCATCTGATTATGTGAAAGAAGAAGATGCAATTCAATTTAATATTTTATTTTCATCTGCATTAAAAGAATCTTTAGTTGTTTTTATACCTGAAAGTGTTGGAAAAAATCGAATGTTGATAAAAAATAATAAAAAATGCTTAATTCAAAAGTATTATTTTAATGAAGAAGCACTAGACATGAAGGTTTTTACTCTTAGTAAATCAATGAGAGTAACCAGATGTAACAAATTATTAATAGATTCTTCACAAGATTCTATTTGTGAATCAAAAACTGTTTGTAATTTTCCAAATTCAATTGTGGATAAAATATCACCAAATAGTAAAAATGATTCATTTGAAAACAAACATTCAAGAACAAAAGAGAATTTTCCAAATTATTTTTCATCGACAGAATATAAAGATGAATCTATATTAAATGATATTTATACAGTTGTTGAAAATTTGAGTGATTTAGGAATGACGAATGATAAAAAGTTTGTTTATAATCCTCCTGATGAAAATCATTTATCAAATACAAAAGTAGTAAGTACCATCAAAAAAGATTTTTATGAATACGATTACGACCATGTATCAAAGCACGTAGCAGTTCAAACTAATGAGGTAGTTTCAAATTGTTTTATGAAAACAACCTTTATTTTTAAACCAAGTATTACTGGACATTCAATTATTGGAAAAAAACCAAAGGTAGTATATCTTCCTTTTCATGACATTACAGAAAAGCGATCTGTAAAAATTCTGTCTGTTGTGTTGGAGTGTCTTTGTTTTAACAAATTAAGAAGAACTGTTGTTATATGCAATAACATGGAAGAAGTTCCATCTGTTTCATATGCTATAGATATAATTGGAAATTATGAATCAGTAATTTATACACCACATTTACAAAAAAAAAATCCTAATTTTTCAAAAAAAGTTAAAGTTAAAAAAAAGCTAATAAATAAATTAAATATTCTTGTGACTGACAGTAAAGGGTTTTCTGGAGATGAGTCTGAATCTGTAATTGTACTTGTGAAACAAGATGAGATTTATCTTAGACATACTCTTGTAGATGCCATATCAAGATCAACTTCACATTTAACAGTTTTAGTTTTAGACCATGGATATAAAGATATTTTGGATAAAAATGCAACTATTGCAAATGTGTTAAATAATTGGACAGAAGAAAGAGTTAAAGAACTTAAAGTTCGTATATACAATAATGAAAATCAGCCAGAAAACATAGATGAAAAAGTCATAACTCATGAATGCAATAAAAAAAAACAATTGTGGACACGTGCAGACAGTTTTTTAATAATTTGTGAACGTTGTAAAGATTTTAATGATCGTGGATTAAATAAAGACTTTGATACATATAAAGAGGACAAACAGTTCAGAATTCATGATGAAAATAACTCTAAGTATAATTTTTAATAATATATATATATATATATATATATAAATAATATATATATATATATATATATATATATATATATATATATATATATATATATATATATATATATATATATTAGGGTGGTCCATAAAACAACTTTTTTGAGAAAAACCTGCTGACACCCCCTAAATGTGTTTTATCTAATGCAAAAACACTAGGTTTAAAATTTTTTTGAACAAAAATTATTTTTAGGGGTAGCTCAAGGCCCTCAAAAATTTGACGGGTCCCTAATATTTTGAAAAAAAAACTTTTTCTAAAGTATGTCAACCTGGTACTCAAAATAAGCAAAATTATATAAAAAATTTAAAAATGATAATAATTTTTTATAAAAATAATTTTTTTAGGTATAAATGCATAAAAACTATTGTTTTTAAGCTGAAAATAAAAAAAGTCAATATTTTCAGGTTTTTTGAGAATAATTTTTTTTAGGCATGTTTTTTATGTAAAATGATTATTATTTTTGAAGTTTTTATACAATATCGCTTCTTTTGAGTACCAGGTTGACATACTTTAGAAAAAGTTTTTTTTTCAAAATATTAGGGACCCGTCAAATTTTTGAGGGCCTTGAGCTACCCCTAAAAATAATTTTTGTTCAAAAAAATTTTAAACCTAGTGTTTTTGCATTAGATAAAACACATTTAGGGGGTGTCAGCAGGTTTTTCTCAAAAAAGTTGTTTTATGGACCACCCTAATATATATATTCACGAAGAAAAAATTTTTTTTTGGTCCTCCCCCCCCTCCTTCCCTTCCCCCCCCCCCCCCCATCTCTTATAGCTTGTGCCGCTTTGCAGTAATGGGGGGAGGGGTTGCGTTAGTTTAAAATTGTATCTTTAGCACATAATTGAGTGACTACTTAAGAGTAAAACAACAAAAGTACTCAGATTAAGTTTGGAACCCTTTTGCTTTAGCAACATTCATGGCATTGCTTTAGCAACATTCATGGCATGCTATCAAATAGTTTTTGTAAGAACTTAACAGGTATTATTTCCCATTCTGCCTTTAATATCTCAAAAAGTTCATTTTCATTTTTTGATTAATGTTTCTTCATTTTGCACTTAATTCAATTAATACATATTTTATATAGACATATTTTTTAACATGTTTTTATGTTAAAAAATAAATATTATCTTATGATTTTCTTGTTTGGTAGAGTTTGAAATAGCGTAAGTTACTGTTATAATTTACAGCCTAATTTATAATTTGTAAGTAATATTATTTTGTAAACTACAAACCATAAGCCTTTTATTTCATTAAACAAAATCATTGGTGATTGGTGGTTTTACCCCATTGGTGGGGTACCTTGAATCAAATTTCTAATTTTACTTTAACTAGTCTTACAAGTTTAACCTGTTGTATATGACAATTTATAGATTTTATTTTGCAGGTATTAGTTTATTCTACAAATTAAACTAATCGCCTGAAAAAAATGCGCATAAAAAAAATTGTTATGAAGAAAAAATCAAAAGTGTGTCATGGTGCCCCACTCTCCCCTAAATAAACAATAAAAAAAAACAAATCGCGAAAATGTGAAAAGCAATCGCATTTCGCGATCACAATACGCTTAATAGGAGGCCTGATATACACACACGCATATATATATATATATATATATATATATATATATATATATATATATATATATATATATATATATATATATATATATATATATATATATATATATATATATATATATACACACACATATATACATATATACATGTACACACACATGAACTAATTTTTATAAGAATCGTGCACTAATTTTAAGGAAACTTTTTTTTTTGTCAGATTTTTCATTTGGTAAAAAATCTTTAAAAAAATTGTAAAGTTTTTTGTTTACATTTTGTCAGCTGTCTGTATGTCTATTTTTTGTAATTCCAAGAAAATACAAAAAATAGACGTATGGATATTTTCATAGTACCTCATTAAGAATTTAAAACTAAAATAATGGACTTGCACATATAATAGTTATACATGAAAAGATTGAACCAAAGTAAAAATCTTAAATTAAAAATCTTGTTTAAATTAATTTATTAATTTTTTAGCTAAAGATTTTAAATTTCGGTTTAACATTTTTTGAATTAGCATTCATAGTTTCATCAATAAATTCAAATTTAAAAAATGCTATTTCATGCCATACAACCCATAGCGTTAGACCACCATGTTTAACTGTTCTTTTCTGCAACTCAAATGTATTTTGCTTTATTTTGATTTACTTTTTAGTTACTTTTTAATTGTATTAATAAGATCAAAGTGCTTTTCAAAGTGCTTTTCAAAGTCATACTGGATTTAATACTTCTTTGCAAAATTTTATTCTTACCTTCATATGGTAATTTGTTAAAAATGTTTTTTAGCAAGCCAATTACAAAATTATTTAGACATTACAAATCCAATAAACCCTGCTTTTTGAATTTGGTTTCAAATTAATGCTAGAGAAATTGTATTTCCTGTTAAGTTTTTTAGATTATCTGCTATATTTTTTGCGCTTTCAAATAAATTTGTTTCTAGCATTTTCAAATTTTAAAGTTGTTTTCTACTTTTGCTCTCGTCCAATACGAATTTCAAATGTTTAATACTGTTTCTTTACAATGGCTCCTACTGTTGTAAATTAAGCATCCCCCTCATCCCTGGCATCTCATTTGGCGGAGTTTAAGATAGTGTAAGTTACTGTTATAATTTACAGCTTAAGTTATAATTTTAAGTTTAAGTTGCAGTTTTAGTGTAATGAGCAAGTGATAATGTATTGAGTAAGTAACGTATTTAATACTATTATGATATTATTTTTAGTAATTGTTTTTACTAAACATGATACTTAAAAAGTAAAAGTAAAAACACAAACTTTACAATATTAATACCACTTTAATTAGTTATAAAAAACTATTTAAAACTTCATGCTGAAGACAAAACATGTGTTATTTTTAAAGAATATTGAAAAAAGTTATAAAACAAAAAAAACAACTTTGCAGTCGTTTTGAAAATATAAAGAGTCTTTATATTGTGATATCCACTTATTAAAAAAATACTCTTCAAAATTTTATTGTCAACAAGAAGTTTGAAGACTTTATATTTTCAAAACGACTGCAAAGTTGTTTTTGTTGTTTTATAGCTTTTTACAATACTCTTTAAAAATAATGCATGTTTTTTATTTTGTTTATTTTATTAACGTGTTTTTTATTATTTACACATTACGCAAGCACATTATTAAAAAGCTTCTATTTAATTTTTTTCTAGATGTAACTAGATCTGAAAAAAGTTGTATATGAAACTAAATCTGGTTAAAGTAATGCATTATTGTTTAATAATTTTTTTTTAATGTAACTACATCTGAAAAAATTATATATGTAATTATATCTAGTTAATGTGCATCATAATTTAATAATTTCATAAAGTCCTGTAGTTATATTTAACATAAATGAAAAGATGTAACTACAACTGTATAATTCACAGATGTAGTTGTACAGTTGTGGTTATTCTTAACACAATTGAAAAGATGTAGCTACATCTGTAAAATCTCCAGATGTAAATGCACAGATGTTGTTCTGTGCAACTTCATCTGGAGATTTACATAAAGTATATGATTACTACATCTGTAGTGATCATATACTTTTTACACAGATGTTATGAGACATCAATGAAATTTCAGATGTTGTTGGACAGATGTTATTATACCTCAGTGTATTTACAGATGTTGTTGGGCAGATGTAGTTATACATCTTTACATTTATAGATGTTGTTGGACAGATGTTATTAGACATAACAAAAACTGATGTTGTTTTTAAAGTTAAAAATTATATAAAGTAGTTCATTAACATAATACATTATTAATTGTGTAATATAAAAAGTATAAAAATTAAATTTCCAGTATAAATAAAAATTGTTGTTATTCAACAAAATTGTTGTTATTCTGTAAAATTGTTGTTATTCTGCAAAATTGTTGTTATTCAAAATGCAATTGACTGTTATTCAACTTATTAACTTGTTGTAATTATTGTTAGAATTTATAATATCTTCGATATTATAAATTCTAACACCCTTCATCCTTATTTTGTATGATCAAAAATTTACTTAAATTGATATCCCTAATTTTATTTTTTCATAATATTAGAAGAATTTCTAGGGTAGCGCTTATTAAATCTTGCTGGTGGTAGTGATGCAAGGAAATCACGCGCTTTAAAAGAGAAAAGCTCAAACTCAAAAAAGGTGTTTGTTCTCAAAATAATTGTTTATGTGATGAAAAAAATGATTATAATTAATTATAGCAGCTGCGTAAGAAGGTGAAAATCATGGAATAGAATTGAAACCAATTGGAAGCTTCCATATCTTCCTGAATCTAGTAGGTTAGGAGGGAGACACATTATTCAGCTAAGAAACAATGGACATCAGCCCGAGGACCGTCACAAAGAAAAACACAAAGAGTCCTGTTCAATTTTAGGGTAGTAGTAAGTAGTGTGATAATTGAAGGATTTATATTGATCATTGCCATCTAAAGGAGGATAAGGAGGAAATAAACACAAGCTAAGGTCAGTGACAAGACACAAATCAAAGAGTGAAGGTAACTGATTAGGGTTGTCTGGAAAATGATTCACTTAGTTAACTCTCTGAGTAGGAGATTAAAAATTACAAAAGTTATGATCTTTATTGCCAGCATGATTAGTGGCGTTAGAGCCAAACTTTTTAGTGTGATAAGCATTAAAGTAACTAATGACAACAATATTAACAGAGGGATAAAGATAAAGGGCTAAAATAAGTATGCCCAAGCCCAAATAAGGGCTAAAATAAGTATGCCCAAACCAAGCATGTGACTATTAGTCTCTTTGCGAATCAAAGGATAGTAGCCATTAATACTGAAATTCAAAGAAGAAACACCTGAATTTAAAGTAGTTTCACAAAAAGCAACCAAGACTGGTGATTTTTGCAAGAGGTACAATTTAATTGATGAAAAGTTATTTCAATGACTAC